CAACGTGCAGACCGGGGGTAACGCTGCGACGAGGCCTGCAGGATTTCCCCGTTAATATCAGTGTCTCGAAAATACATGTTGGCGAGTCTCTCAACTGAAAGAGGACCACAAACACACACAAAATATAATAAAATTTTGAGATTTGGGGATATTTATCTCCCATTCTTTCACTTTTTCTGAAATTTCAACACCAAACATGTCGTTAATGTCTCTTTTTAGTGAACTACAGCAATCTGAAAGCCTATACATTATTTATATCACACTTTATCAGTAGAAAAATGCAGGAAATTAATAAAATAAAAAAATCTTCCCGCGCCCCCCCTACAGTACCTCCGCGACCCACCAGGGGTTGCGCCCCACAGTTTGAAAACCACTGCCTTAACAGGTTGAATGGGAATTAAATATTTTTAAGTAATTTTGAGTGTTCCCAAAGCCCCGGTGTTCTGCAGTTTGTGTGGGCCTACTGTACTGTTGCACAGTTTATGCTGTAGAAACTATGTCCAGGACAAGGTGTTTGGAAGTTTTGGAAGATTCCATAGCTAACTACACTGAAGATTATGGAGGTAAAACACCTTGTCCTGGACATAGTTTCTACAGCATAAACTGTGCAACAGTANCCATGTATTTAACATATATTGCATAATTTTATGCATTTTTCAGAAAATGTGGTAGTTTGGGAAACAGTGACATCAACGACATTTCTGGTCTGTAAAATGCCCGAAAAGTAAAAGAATGGGAGATAAATATCCCAAAGGTTCATATTCTTGTTTCATGTTTGTTGAAATATTAGAGTCAAAGGTTTGCACAGAGCGAAATATCTTTGGTGTTGCGCGATATATCAGAAAATACTGCATTCAAAAAGTCATTTCCTGCATTTTTCTACTGATAAAGTGTGATATAAATAATGTACAGGCTTTCAGATTGCTGTAGTTCACTAAACAGAGACATTAACGACATGTCTGGTCTGTAAAATGCCCGAAAAGTAAAAGAATGGGAGATAAATATCCCAAAGTCTCCACATTTTATCATATTTTTTATGTGTTTCTGGTCCTCTTTCAGTTGAGACAG